AAGGAGCCTTAGACCCGATCGGATTCAGCCTGAAGTTCGAATGTCCAGAATCCGAATAGCCTCAATCCAAGCCCGGACATCCTGAGCCCAGAATTTTTAGAGATACTAATTGGAGATGCATGACATTAAATCCAGAAGCCTTGAATCCGATAATCCGAAGAACGTAAGTTAAATCAGCAGATCTTGGATCCAAATCTTAATCCGAATACTTCAAGTCGCAAAATCTTAAGCCCGAAGATCTTCAAGGCTAAGATCTCAATCCCGAAATTCGAGAGATGAAGACCCTGATGATAAAGAGAACGATACGACTTCTTCGATGAAGTCTCTTGGATCGGTGGAGGGCGGCCGGACCGTCAAGCCTACGGAGAAAATATACAAGTTCTATTTAGAGCTTCCCGCGTATTTAAAAAGAAAAGGTTCATAATAGTAAAAAGATTTGGCGGTCCATATCAAACGACCATGAAGGTAATTCAATCTATCAGATCTTTAGAAGTCCGCATATTAAGAATGCAAATCGTTTGCGTCATTTTGTCAGAAATTTTGAATTGTATGCTCTCCGATTCTGATAATAGAAGTGCCGAATTGATCAGTTGTATGAACATGGACCACTATATCACCAAACGACCCCATCTTGTTTGAAGTGTGTATTCTTATCTAGATTTTTCAATGTTATTTTGATTTGCAGGACGAGAGCATAAAACCGAAGAATGTAAATTCGAATTCTTGAACCCCTAAAATCCTATATACTTCATATAGATTGTCCGAACATGAAAGCCGAAATCCAAAAAAATTAGGTCCGAAGATATAAGCTCTAAGATCTTAGTCCGGAAATCCGAGACCCGAAGATCGAAAGCTAAACCAGACTATACTAAACCCGAGGAGCTTAAGCACGAAAGCCTCAATTCCGAAAGTAAAGGAATATAAGATCAAAGCAAGATTGCGTTAAAGTCGAAAGCCCTGAATCCTAAGACCTCAATCTCGAATACTCAAATACGAAACTTGAAATCATAAAATTTTCCGAACATTCTAAGCCCGAAAACCTTCAATCCTGGATCCCGACTTTAAATGAAAGCCTTAGACCCGAATACCTTCATCTCGTAGACGATAAGTCTGAATCCCGAAATCCTTAGACCTAGCCAGCAAAAACACCGAAAGCCCAGAATCCGAAGACCCTAAACGAGGATAATGATTGCGAAAGCTTCAAAATTCGATTTTTTCCCGAAGATCCCAAGCCTGAAAATCCTGGATCCAAGACTCCTGAAGCAGGATATTCGGGTTCAAGATTTTGATAATATGATTTTCGAATCTGAGATTAGGATCCGAATATTCAAAACCATATCGAGCCCGTGAAGTCCTGGATTCTTGGTCCTGAATCCTAAATATGATTACCTTAAGTATGAAGCTCGAATCCCCGGATCCCGAGTAGCCTTAATCCAAATCCCAACTGCCTAAATCTAGACTCCTTATAGATGATGATCTAAATGGAAGACATTAAGTCCGGAAATTTTGAATCCGATAAATCAAAGATCGCAAATAAAATCAGAAGATCTTAGACTAGAATTCTAATCAGAAATCGAAATCGCAAGACCTTAAAGCCGAAATCCGGAAAGACTAGGATCTTAAATCCGAAAATCGAGATGAGAATATCCTAAAATTAGAGGCCGCAAATACGAATTCCTCAGACCTTAGAATCCTGCATGCCTTATTTGCATCCGAGCTTGAGCGCCGATTAATAAATCAAGAATCTAAGATCCGAAGAATTTAAACCTAAAATCATATATATGAGAACTAAACTAGGCCATATTGAATCCAACGACCTTCACCTGAAAGTCTTAAACCCGAATATTTTAAAATATTGAATTCAAAATTCGAAGATCTGAAATCAGAATACTGGATAAATTGCAATCCCCAAGACCTTAAACCCGACTTTTCATCGAATACCTTGAGCATGAAAACCCTGAACCCGACCTATTTCAAAAGTCTCAGACCCGAATAGCTTAAATCCGTATATGCTGAATCTGAAATCCGAAATTCCTAGGCAGGCAGAGCAGATGCAGATCTCGAATCTTTAAATCCGATATTCTAAATCCGAAGACTTCAGTCCGAGATACTCTGCCCCCATATTATAAACCTCAAAATCTTAAGATCTTAAATATGCTGAGTCTAAAATTCCAAATCCGAGACTCTAAATAGAAAGATTTTCAAATCTAAGGGAATAGTCTCTATATTGCAACCCGATCTCAAATCGTAAAATCTTAAAATCATATATATGAAGTCCGAAGGTCAAGCTTTTGGTTTTGATTTCAAATTGCTTCGAGATTTCTAGGATGATTTTGAGCGTTTCCGGCTTGCACGCTTCAGCACGCTTTCCATTGGATTCGACTCGGTTCGGCGAATATGGGATATAGAATGAGATTTTGAATTACGGATCGCGGAGCCGTTTGCGCGTAATCTATTCTTGAAAATGATATTGATAACGGCGAATAATCGATAATCTGATGATTTATACGATCCGCATCTATAGAATATTGATGCCCCCATTGATATGGCAAGCGCATTATTGATAATCGAAAGAGTCTCGTCCAAGGGCCTATTCATATTGCCTATCGATGATGATATTTGGTCGGGAAAGGCTGATGACGATCTTAGGATATTTAGGTCTGTTGATGCTGATGATGGCTGCTGATATTCAGGATTCTCTCCCTAGGGCGTGTTGCTGATGAACATTTTCTCACGCGAGCATTGATGAAAATCGCTGGTAATGAAAATAATAATAATGATGATGATATGAGACGTCCTGCCCCATGATTTCGTTGCTGGAGACGATAGCTTAGCAATCGATAATGAAAATTAGAATTGATATCGTACCATATTCAATATTTGCACCCGTCAGATCTATAGGTCGCCATTTATGCGCAACAAGATATCCTATAGTTATCCTAATTTGCACGATGCTGCTATCTCAGATTTATTAATATTTTAATATGATTCTTCCCTGATCTCCACGAATTTATCAAAGATAAGATTATAGAAAAATATGATGCCTTAGGACTATCTATTTAGTACTTACGTCTACGTAGTGCCTAAGATGTCCGCGAGAGTCTGATGATATTCATGATATTATCCTGGAGAGCCTTCTTGAATTCAGAATGTTTATCTATCGCTGATAGTACTTGCCTGCCAAGCCTATTAATCATGCCCGTCCGTAGTACGTTGCCGATTGTTTCATCCCAATATTTCGAAATAATTTTCCAAAAAATAGAAGTAAATATTTTATTTTATAAAATGAGAATCCAAAATTCAAATTTTATTAATTAAGATCCCCCCATCTACAATATAATCTAAAAAAATTTTTTTAGTATAATCATCTTGCCGCGATTAATCATCTTTATTCTATTATATTCTCCCCATCCTCTCCATAATGATTTCTTTTTATTCTATAAATTCTCATCTCATAATAATATTTTATCTTAGAATCAAAATATTCGTATCATTTTATTCACCGCTAAATTTTCTCCGATTTTATTTAATAAATAATGATTTCTTTTCATTCCCGTTCCCAATCTTTCCCATCCCTCGCTATTATTCTGATTCTATGCTCTTCATGTCGATTCACCTTCCCCCTCATTCCGCTCTAATTTACATAATACTCTCCTTATTCTATTTTGCTTCTCCATTCCACGACAATCCCCTCCCAAAATCTTCGTCTTAGATTCCGCACGATACCCACAATATATGTATATGTATATGTATATGTATGTGTATGTATATGTGTATGTATATATATATATATATAGTCATCCGCCCAAGATATGACCCGTCATACACCCCGATTTCTCGACAATCCCCAAATCATTTTACCGTAAGCACGCTCCCCAAACCGTTTTATAAGAACTTCTCGTGGCTTCCTACCGCGCCCACGATACGTTCCAAACCACCTTCCCACAAGCTCCAGCACCGTCCCACGACTTTCCCCACGACGTACCCCAACCACTTTCCCGCAAGTTCCCGTCACCTCACGCTCCCCAAACCTCTTTCCCGCTACGCCTTCCAAACCGCTTTCCCGAAAGCTCCCGTGACCTCAAACCATGGTGCGATACTCCCCGCCACTCCCGCAAGCTCCCGTGACCTCGCGCCGCGCAGGGCCACTCCCCAATCTTTCCGGAAAGCTCCAACGATCCCCCACCGTCCCATCTCAAACCACTTTCCCGCAAACTCCCGTGGCCTCAAACCCAAGCGCCATATTCCCTACGACGCACCCCAAACCGCTTTGCCGCAAACTCGCGTGACTTCGCACCGTCCCGCGACACTCCCCAAGCTACTTTCCCACAAACGCCAACAGCCTCGCACCGTCTCGCGACATCCGCATCACGAGCGAGATGCTTGCGGACGCAAGCTTGCGAACGCTTGCGGGCGCTTCGCGGACGCAAAACGCACGATGTAAGGTCATCGCCCCGCCCCTGGAATCCCACCTTAAAACGAGAACCCTTCTGCTACGCATTCGGGGAAACCTGAAGTCTTAAAATAATAATTTCTATATATATACATATATATATATATACATATCGGCGCCGGAGCCTGATACGGCTTATATGTTGCAAGTTATTCACAGAAAACTGTGGAATTGTTGATATCGTTCGCAGAACCACCGCGACACCTTCGCGGACACATGAATTTACAATGTATAAGGAAAACGTTGACAAGGATCGTTTCTTGTTCGATTTTTGATCAAGCCCTGGCAAACACATCTTTGGTGAAAGGGCAATGTCGCTTGGTCTTACGTATAGGCCAAGCGACCTATCACTTCGCCCCCTGTCCAGTTCCAACTTCTGCGTCTCGATGGCACAGTTGACTACAGTAGCAATTCTCTTCCAGGCTCAGGGGGCTTATGTGAGTGAGACTGCTACCTTGCAACGCGACACCACTGCAAGGTGACCGGAGATGATCATGCCACTGTCCAGTTTGGCACTGGCGTCCATCTTCCGTAAAAAGCGCAGTGCTCACTTGTCCTGGTTTTTGGGATTCTCCGGTGAGCGCTCCCACATCTTGAAGCATCGCTCCTGGTGCCAGCTATTTGAACAAGGGAACTCTCGTGGCACGTTCAAGCATAAATGCTTGCGTGAGGATGTCCTTGTCAGAACTTCAGGTACGGCAGACATGAAACAACTTCTCCGAACTTGCAAAACTCCGAGGCCCCAAGTCCGGATCCTTGGCCTGCGACATCTTGAGCCCAGGATTTTCCTGCCATTTTCATGAGCCAAGGAAGGCGAAGTTTGTAGAGCTCTGACGACTGAGCTGGTACTGATGAGTGCGTGAACCAGACTCGTCCTGTTTGATGTTGTCGAGCTCTCTTGCTTCGAACTCCTTAGCGGCAGCTTCACAGCGAAATCTGTCTCAGATACTAGTCTTAGTAAGTAGGAAGCAGACACACAGGCCTACATCGCTCGAATGCCAAACTACAAGCAGTCACAGCAAATGACTTTTCCGAGGACCCGACAGCATAAGTCCTGAGCGCAGGAAACTTGACGAAACGAGCACATGGCCACGAGACACGCTCCATTTAAGATGACTTCAACTGCCCACTCATTAGCTCCAGACTCCAGCAGCATGCTTGCGTGCAGCTTCAGGCCCCACCCCTTTCCTGAAAGATGGCGCCTTTCGAAAGAATCCTACGACGGAACAGGTTGACTAAATCAGCCCAGAGAACACAAACTGTGCAATAATTGAGCATCGGCCAGGTTGCATCTTGGATTTCTTCTCGCCACCAACGTCCAACGCGCTCAAGGCTGCGTCAATGCCGCTGGCCTTGGCCGATACGGGACAGAACTCCCGCCCTGCACCTGCACTCTGTCGATTAGACCTCTGGGTCCTGGCTTTCCCGCCAATTTTGATGCATTGCGATTTGTAGCCATGCCGAGAGCCAGGCGTCCACTACCTCCTTGCAAGATGTCATCTGCCAAACCCCCGAAAATGTAAAACGTGCAGCGAAACAGCATCAGCTTGGCATGGCCTGGCATCAGCTTCTTCCAGAAGTCACCGAAACACTGTTGCAACATGTTTTAACAGGCCCGTCACAGACGCACCCAGATTTTTGGTAGCTCCTCCATGCGATTGGTGTTCGCCTCCAGCTTCGGCTGAGGTACAACCTGACAGCTTTGCTCAATGATTCCTGCATCACTTGCCGTCACATTCAGGCCCCACCTCCGTTTTCTTAGTTTGCTTCTTGGGGTTCGCCTTGGCAGCCACTGCCATCAACGCCTGTCGGTTGTTATGAATGCAAGGTGACTGTGCCAGGAGAGACAACATGTATCTTTACAAATCTTATAGTCTTTGCATTGCTTGGTCTGTTGGCTCCCACTACTGCGCTTGTTTGCTAGCAGCACTGCAGAGGCCTGTCTTCTGGCGATCTCGGCTTGTGTGACCTGTGCCGGGCCATGTGAACTGCAACCGCCCCAGCTGCAGGCCTCCCCGGAATCGACGAAATGCGCCGGGCCTTGCCGTAGCCGCCCGCTTTCTTGTTTGCCCCCTTCATGCTGGCGTTAGCCTCCTCCTCCGCTTTCTCCATCTCCTGGCTTTCTCTCCAAAGTGCGACAAGGAGAGTTCAAAGCTGCTCTGCATCCGAGCAGCTTTGAGCTCGGCTTTCGCTGCAAGCTTGGCATCTGCCTCGCACAGTCACATGCTTTGGGGGTGGTGAGATTGGGATAGTCGAACTGCGCAAGGGCGTTGCTTGGCAGCTCCTTCAGCTAGTGTCGGAGACAGGTTGCGAGACTTCGGAGACTTTGCAGGCTTTTCCAACCGTCAGAGACTAGGTTCTATGCCGTGCATAGGAGCCTCACAGTCACCAGCAAAGCTGACAATTGCCCGCAGCCTGAAAGTTGATCCTACGGCATGCTCGCATGGATCTGAATTCTTGATGCAATCTTCATCCCACTAGCACCAGACTCCTAAAATCTGACCTAGTTCCTTTTTCTGGAACGCATCCGGTTTGCTCTAACAGCCTTAAAATCCTGTCTTGCACAACATGATCCATTGCATCTGTGCGGAAGCTTCATATCCCCTTCTTCCTGCCTTCGCTGCGGAATCAGCCGCCCTGGCCGCCTTCTTCAGGTTGCCTTGTGCAGCAAACATGCTTCAGAGCTTTACTTTATGTGTGCGAAGCCGGAGCCTTTGTCAGTTTCCGCCCATGCCGCGTCTTCGGCCGCAGCCTTTGTGGCCTGGTCGTGAAGTGCCGCAGACGAGCAGACTCGACATTGTGCAGCCCTGCCCAAGTCATAGTCACTTTGCTTCGACTGCAATCAATGATAGAATCCCAAAGCTCTGAACCAAACATCAACGTGAAAGAGCAGCCTTACCGTCTCACACCTCGTCCTTTGCCTTTGCCGCGGCCGCCTTCTTGTCTTTGGCACTTGCATCTCCGAATCCTTGGTGAGAGAGCCAAGCTTCCTTGAAACCTGCGCCCAAGCTTCCTGAATCTTAGGCGGAGTCCCATGGATTCGGGACGTCACCCGCAAAGCGGGCAAAGACACGCTAACTAGATTTGGACAAGCATGTGCATGTCAAGTCCTTGGGCCCGAAGATCACGTATCGAAACTGCAAGTACTTCGCGACACTCGACATGCAAACCACATAGGACTACACAAGTTGGGGTTAGTAAAATGCTTTCAGGTCTGTTCGAACCCCGACATGTGAGACAGGATAACTTTTGCGAGAGATAAGTGGCGACGCAGCTGGCAAGCTCGCATCAGAAGCACATATTTGTGCAAGGTGTTAAAAACCTGGACAGCTCCCGGTCGAGGGTTGAGACTGCATGAAACCAGCTCAGGCACATGCATCTTTAGGAAGGAAGGATTACAACAGGCTGGCATCGGTAATCTCTTATTGCCGCGAAGGTTGCACTGGAGACTTGCGGACGTTGCAAACGATTGAAACACGCACATCTCAATATCTGGCGTACCAAACATCTCAGGCCAAACAACTTACAAAATCCTCGCTTGGGTTGCTGCTGCAAGTTGCTCCTCGACCGGGAGCACGCAATGCAGCATGTTGCCAACAGTTCGTGCCACCGTCTGAGTGCCGGCGAGATCAAAAAGTCCAGCAACCAGACTCACGCATGCTAGAAGTCTGAATGATGTCATGATGCTCGAATGCTTCTGCACAAACTGTGGCAATGCGTGTCGTTGGCCGAGCCATCTTAAGAAGCAAAATTTGCAGACGCATCACAGGGGTCTGCACATGTTGCATGCAGCACTGCTTGCAAAGGTGCTCGGAAGTTGTGCCTTGTTGGAATATGCTAGTATGCGCCGGTGCACGTCTTCTCCCAGTGACTATGTGCTGGTCTACAGTAGCTAACCAGCTAACCTACCAGTAATTATCAAAAACAGATGATCGCTTTGCATCAGACTAATGACTAATGCTGGACTCAAAAGCTTTCCCTCCTGCCAACATCGCAGCTAGCCGAAGGCTCGCTTCATCAAGAGCAGTACGAGAGCTTGCTAGGAGGCTGCTCCCTGCAACACTGCCAAGTTTTTCAGGGGCTACGAAGCGCCTCAACCCCAAACCTCTTCTAGAAGTGCAAGTCAGGGACTGCCACCTGGCCACTCCCAGGGTCGCTAGCAACGAGCGGCTCCGCGGCCTCTCATTCGTGAGTTGTGACCTGGACGTGCAGCTTTGCAGGCCGGTCCTGCAAGCTTCACGAGAAGGAGCTCACGTCACATCAGCAGAAAGCAGGCTGCTTCCCTGTCCTGTCGCACATCATGATGACAAAATGCTCTCGTTCTCATCACGCAGACGGTGGCGTCGACGATGCACCTGTGTCTCTGAGAACACTGTCTAGGAATCGACAACTTACAACAGAAAGCACGACAGCGACTTGACCGGAAAAGAATCAAAAGAATTGCCGCCTGCACATGGTTCAGCTGAGCCAGTGGCTACCGTTTTTAAGACCATCAAAGAGCTTGAAGGGGTCGAAACCCAAGGAGTATTCCCAGTTCCACCTTCAATCCACCAACAAGCTTTCCGACTTTGGAGCTTTGAGAGAATTGCTGCTGAGTTGGCCACTCGGAAAAGGAAAAGATATTGTCAAAGAAGTCATACAGGGTGAAATCGCCACCTGTCCTGTCCTGCAGGCTAATGCTTGCCGCTGTGTTCTGTTGCCGAGTTGGGAAATCTGGATTTCTACTTCCATTTGGAGTTGGAGACCCTGCCCCGAGAAAAGAAGCATGGCATCTGTGGGGACGAATCACCACTATTGCAATTGTCCTGGATCCGGCCCTGCGTCACTCCGATGACACCTTGCAAGTCAAGCCAGCAATTCAGGCTGCTGTCCAACTCAAGATTAGATGCCGGTGGGTACCGTTCTTGCTGCAGAGCCGCTGGAGCCGAAGGAGTAGATAATCAGGCTCACCCAGAACCTTGCTGTTGGGCAAGCATGTATCGTGGCTGAGGCAGGGGTTCTAGCAGTTCTAAAGTCGACCATTCAACGACACCCAGCACCAGTCTCCGGGCTCGCGGCGCAGTGACCAGAATGTTGAAGTCAAAACCTTCCTGCCGAAACACACGCGCAGAAGACCGAGACGCAATCGAAAAGAAGTGCTGTACGTTGGCTTCGCATCTTGCCATGTCCCACATGCAGCCCGGCCTCCTTCTTCTCCGATTTCTCCGGAGTGGCTGGTGCGGTACCCTCCTAGTGGAGGCAGCTGTGCTGCGTGGAACATGCAGAAGCAGAGCATACATTGCGGGCACCATGGCCAAAACGCTCGCGACAGTCGGACAAGCTGTCATTCGCCATTTACGAAGCACCTCTTCCTCGGACATGGCCATGGCCATCCGCAGGACAGCGTCATCGATCTCCTTCTTCGGCAGCATAGCAAGAGCTTCGATGTCAGTAGTCGTTGTTGTTGCTGTCGGCGCTTGTAGTGTCAGTGGCAATGCGAGCGGTTGTGGTGGTGGTGGTGGTGGGTGGTGGTGGGTGTGGTGGGCGGTGGTGGGGTGCTGGTGGGTGGTGGGTGCTGGTGGGTGCTGGTGGGTGGTAGTGGGTCGTGGTGAGTGGTTCGTCGTGGTGGTGGTCGGGGTGGTGGTTGCGGTAGTAGTGGTAAGCGTGGAAGTCGTGGTAGTCGTGGTAGTCGTGGTAGTCGTAGTAGTAGTGGCAGTCATGGCGGTTGTGCTTGTTTGTAGTTGTGGTAGCAGTTGCCGGCGTAGTAGTAGTAGTAGTAGTAGTAGCAGTAGCTGTAGCAGTATAGCAGCAGTTGTAGTGGTGGTGCAGTAGCAGTAGCAGCAGACGTAGCGGCAGCGGCAGCGGGCTCGGCAGCGTTGGCGGTAGCGGTAGCAGTAGCCAGCAGCAGGTGAGTAGCCAGTAGCGGTAGCAGTAGCTGCAGCGGTAGCAGCAGCGGCAGGAGGAGGACGACCAGGAGGAAGAGGAGGAGAAGTACCAGCACTTGTACTTGTAGTGGTAGTTGTGGGCAGTCGTAGTAGTCGTCGTCGTGGTCGGTTGTTGGTGGTGGTGGTGGTGGTAGCGAGCAGCAGGACTATTAGTCGTAGTAGTAGTAGTAGTAGTAGTTGTTGTTGTAGAAATAGTAGTAGTCGTCGTCGATGTTGTAGTAGCAATAGCAATAGGTAGCTACAGTAAGGGTTAGCAAGAAATAATGTCCCTACTACTTGCTGCTGCCCCTGCTGCTCCTCGACCTTTGGTGGTTTGCACTGGGATGCTGATGCTGCTACTGTTGCTGTTGCTGTTGCTGTTGCTGTTGCCGTTGCCGTTGCCGTTGCCGTTGCCGTTGCCGCTGCCGTTGCCGTTGCCGTTGCTGTTGCTGTTGCTGTTGCTGTTGCTGTTGCTGTTGCTGTTGCTGTTGCTGTTGCTGTTGCTGTTGCTGTTGCTGTTGCTGTTGCTGTTGCTGATGATGCTGTGCCGCCTCCTGCTGCCTCCTATTGCTGCTGCTGCCGCCCGTAAGGTTGCCGGTCTGATGTCATTGCTGCCACTTTCTGCTACTGGTGAGACTACTGTTGATGCCATCAATGGCACAAGTATGAACATTGCTGCTCATTCATGACTACGACCATGAAACAACGACTATATGCAGCGTGATGATGCCGACGGTGATGATGAGGATGACGAGGAGGAGGAGGACGATGATGATGATGATGACTCTATGCTGCTGCTTATGCTGATGGCGCTGATGGTGATGACGAATTTACACTATACTAGCCACTGTCGTCTGCACCAGAACGATGGCCCGATGGCTACATTACAGCTTTTCTGATTGCCAGCAGTGTACATGGCGCGTGAGACTGACAAAGAGTCCTTGTCACCGCCGGCCTGTGAAAGAAGGTGCGCCCAGAATCAGTTTTGCAGCTTCTAGACTGGAGGGCCCAGCTCCTCCGGCACCCTTTTTAAGCTCGCTGGCCAGCTATCACCTACCTGCCTCAAATCTAATCTCCACCGTCTATCCAGCTTGCAGCAGGCAATGGAATGGAGACGGCCGTCCGCTACCCCACAGAGAATAGAAGCGCCCCGAGTGTGCAGTCTGTCTTGTGGGAAGACCTCTGACAATGGACGCTTGTATCTCGCGAGTCGCTCTTACAGTGGGCTGGCAGGGACTTGCATGGTATCTTTTTCATACTTCGATGAATACGCTGACAGGCAGACGGCGACCTCTCCTTCGCGAATGTTCACGCCAGAGAGTATACGTTTCACTCTACACGACAACACGGCCATGATGACTCCAGAATTGCATGCGGAGTGCATGCTGCTAGCCTTCTTGTCCTCGGTGGTGGTGCTGGGTGGCTCACTGCCGGCAGCACTCGCCCTGCATGCGGAAGTCATGCAGCTTCTGAGCCCGAGCCAAATGCCGTCGCATGCTGCACGCCGTCTGTTCCGACTGCTTCATCATTGTGCCTCCGCTGGACTGTCTCCAGCGATCTCGATGGAGGACCTCACAGCTATCATATGTGAGTGAGTCCACAACATTCAGAACTGCATGCAGTACGACTCCGTGCGTCCCTCCCAGGCGCTTGCTGCAAACGAAGTTGAATACATCGGACCATCTGCAGACCGCAAAGACAGCCAGAACCTCAGGAAAGCTGAAATGAAAGTAGCCACCTTGCCACGTATTGCAACTTCGGTCCTTCACCTCCTTCCTCCTTCAGACTCCCGGTAACAGATCAACAGAACCAGGTCGCTTCACCAAATCCGCAGCTCTGTCACAGGCCATTTTCTTCTCTGGGGCACTGGCCAGCAATGCACGGCCTCGAGAGCGCATCTGGGGCGCCATGGTGCCTAAGGCAGGTCAGCAAAATATCTCACATCTGAAATGAAAGTCTCAATCATCGCTTCCGGGAAGATTACCGACTGTGCATGGGCGCATCCGGCCCAAACAGCGGCAATCATCAGGAAGGCGGAATCTCTCGTAAGCACAGAGAGCTTCAGAATGAGACACGAAGGAGGTCGGAGGAAGCTGTATCCGCTGAATGTGCAAGAGGAGGACACTATGGCTG